ACTGCATTAACGCACAGCCGATTGCCAAATTTCTGGCGTCACATACCACATGAAATGGTCTGTCCTGATCTGCAGTCGCCAAGATCGGCGATTGCATCAAGCTTTGATTGTTACCCTCAAAGGAACGCTGGCCCTCAGCGTTCCATGACCATTTGACATTTTTCTTGAGCAGACAAAAAAGATGAACAGTCATCTCGGCGTAATTGCGCGAGTACTTGTGTAAGTACGCCGCTAGCCCAAGGAGCTTCCTTAGTCCCTTGACATCGACTGGCACTGGCCAGTCGGTGATCGCCTTGATCTTTTCGGTATCAGGGCGTACGCCGTGTTTACCCACGATGCACCCAAGAAGTGTTATTTCGCTAGCCGCGAATATACACTTCTTGAGGTTGGCGTACAGCTTATGCTTGCGCATAAGTTGAAGAACCTGACGAAGGTGAATTCTATGAACTTCAACGTCCGTCTTTCCGTCCATAGCCCGGATATGGACGAACAAATCGTCGAAGTAACTCGGTGCGAAGTCTCGCACCGGTCTCAACAGATTTGTGACACATCTGTTGAATGTTGCAGGGGCATCACTCAGCCCCTGTGGCATCACTAGCCACTCCCACAGCATCCCGCTGGGGGGTACTCACTGCCGTGAACGGGACGTCCCGTTCACGCATCAGGATCTGATAGAATCCATCCATCAGATCCATGGACGAAAAGATGGTACTCTTTGACATACCATCTATGATGACGCCCTTCCTCGGTATCGGCGTCTGAGCCGGTACCGTTGCAGCATTCAATTTGTTGAATGCGTGCACTATCCGCCATCTTCCTGTGGCCTTTCGCACACAGAAGGTCGGAGAGCTGTGAAGGGATGTTGATTCCCTCACATGGCCCGCTGCTAAGCGATCGGCAAAGAACTTGTCGATCGCTAGTACTTGTTCACGGGGCAGTGGCCACTGCTTCATGACACAGTACTTCGAGCCCGGTCTGAGCTCGATCTCGTGTCGAGTGCTTTTGTCCTTAGGCAACTCGCAAGTTACGGATTCAGGGAACACATCCCTGAATTTGATCAAATCCTTATACAAAGCATTTGCCTGAAGTGACTCCCAGGATTGGGACGTGTATCGCTCAATCCGAGTCTTCTCATCGAGGACACTTTCGTCCATAGATGAGCTGCTGAGAACCCGTTCTTTCTCAGCAAATACTGTTGCCAACCGAATATCGGCCACATACTCATCCTCTGTAACGAGTATGCAGATCTGATTGACTTTGCTACTACGCAGATCACGCAAGAACCGTTTCGGTTCTAGCGTTGGCAACTGAGTTATCTCCGAAGTCAACTTCGGAGGCACAATCAGATCAAGCGTATAAGCGCCTACGCTTGATCCGTCATTAACCAAGACGTTCAACGTCTCGGTTTCTTCCTGAGAACTTGCTTCCACAGGTTGCTGAGGGCCTGATCCCTCAGCAAGTGACCCTTGAGGAATTCCTTCCTCAAGTACGTGGGGACTCATTCCCTCGACGTCTTCTGACTGTGGCCGTGCAACCACAGTTAGGCATCGATCCTCTACGGTCGACTCTCCAGTCGACCCAGGATTTCCATGTTGCCCCTTGAAGGAAACAGGTTTCTTACTTCTAAGATGCTGCTCGCTAGGCATGCATCCATGTCCCGGTCGACTCGACTTATTTGAGTGGTGTACCTTCGGCACCGCCTGTACTTCTGTACAGCCGCCAGGAGCTTGCTCCACAGTGTAGTGATCAACTACACTGTGATCTTGTGCAGTCGTGCTAACGACCGTACCGCAAGTGAGGCCATCGCACTCACACGCAGTACATCCGCACGCTTGTGGACGCTCCAAGATGTTCATCAGATGGCCATCCGATGAACAAGCGGCAGGAATCTTCACGGACCGATGCTGCCATCACACTCTTGGCTCGTACTTTCTGAGCCAAGGTAATCCCAGGATGACATCAAATTTGTCATCCAGATCCAGTACGATGAAGTCATCATCGTACTGTTCGCTCTCTAACGTGTAGTGGATTCTTACTACACGTTTCTCAACGGTTGTTGATGCGCCTGTTGCAAGGCGCATCGTCATCCTTGTGAGGGAAATTTCGCGCTCAACGAACTTGAGCCTACGACCCTCTAGTGAATGGCGTCGAAAAACTTTGTTCGACGCCCCACAGTCTACTAGGGCACGAAGCGACAAGTCATTTGTCGCTTCCAACTTCAAGGTGATGAGCGAAACGTCATCACCAGGTGCAGAGACACACTGGAGCAACTTTCGTCAAGAGATTTGCAAATTATCTTGAGTTTGCTGGATCAGTAGGGCGCTCCGCCCCTACTGACCCCGACCATTTTTTGATGGTCCGTCTCGCTGTTGCGGTTTCGCAACAGCGCTGGACCCACGCCCATTGCCCATTCTGGCAAATGGTCGTCCATTTCGCTCAGTACTGTTTGGTACTGGGCGTTGAGCACTACACTCATATGCGTAGTGCCCATACTTCTGACAGCGACTGCACTTCTGCAATTGCTTGTTGTTCAAAGAGCGAGGTCTCTCGCTCTCAACATAACAGAGGTCCATTGGTTCTGGACCTCCGATCTCTTGTCGTCTCGGTGGACGATAAGAGTTTGAGCTAGCATGAGCCTGTCTCATGCTTAAGTCTTCCTGTTCCGCGGCTGATATCGCATCTTCCAGCGTATTCAGCTCAAGGCGGAACAGGTGGCTCCTGACGGGCTCTTCTGCGAGCCCTTGCATGAACACCGTAATCAACGTGTGTTCATGGTCTGGGTTAGCAGTTATACTACACGCAAGGAGTCGTATATGTTGAGCGTAAGCGTGCACATCACGCTTACCCTGCTTGAGTTTCAGTAGCTCCGAACGAGCCCTGAACTAAGCCCGTGGCGGCTCAAACGTTTGTCTGAACCGGGACTTGAAGTCATGGATCGACCTAAACACATTTGGGTCGCTACTCTCGAGCCCCAGGGACCAAGTTTTGGCACGCCCTGCCAAGTGGGTTTGAGCAAATGTGAGTTTTGTTTGCTCATCTTCAACGCGACGAGCCCTTAGGGCTCTGTCAAGTTCGACAAACCACAGTAACAGGGAGTCCTCCGGGACTCCACTGTACTTGGAGATGTCAACTTTCATGACTTCGGGACGACACGCATGTGCCGTTCCGCCCACAGCAATATGGAATTGCTGCTGTCTCAACAGCTCTGTCTGTTGAGCACCGAGTTCTCTCAACTGCCCGGCCTGTTGAGAGCCTTGCTGGTGAAGAAAGGCTACTTTCTCCCTCTCGAGAGCAAGTTCATTGTGAATGAACTTGGCGATAGCAGCATGTTGTTGGTCTCTGTCTAGAGACTCCAACATGGTGCTGACGACGAGTTCGCCTACGGTAGAACTCATACGTTCTACCGCACCTCATTCGACGTCACTCAAATGGGTAAACCCTTCACGCGTGGCGTGAAAGGTGTCTTCTTCATCCAACATGTTCATGTTGGATGATGTGGTCCTTGGAAGGACTACAAAGTGCTACCAGGTGTAACGGGGCACACCCTTGCGTAACTTAACGCAAGGGATTTGGGTGCCCCGACGGACGTACACGTGGCGAGCGAGGAAGCGTAGGTAGGGTAAAAGTAGAACTGTTATATTAATAAATTAGGTCTTTAAACTACTGTCTCTTCGTTTGACTTAATTCAATTATACTAATATAACTGCATGTATGGTGACGTCTCGTCACCACTCATTGCGCGCGTCTTGCGGCGATTGGTGGGTTGATATCATCACGATATCAACCAATGGACAGACCCTTTGGTCGACCCTTCAATATCACCACTTTGGTGATATTGTTTAAAGAATATCCATCTTTATATTCTGTATTGTCATTATCTCTTCAAATGACAATTTTCATAGAACGGGCTGCCCCGTTACAGCTGGGCTTGGCGAAAATGCGCTCGTTTACGATTCGCGGTCGCGGCTACTCTGGAATTCTGAAGCTGCGCTTCGTGAAGGCCTGCTCGTGACAAGCACGGTCCTATTTTCGGTTTAATTTGTTTTCTCTTGTTGCCACTGGGATCAAACTACCCGTCGATTGTCAGAAGAGTGGAACTTTAGCATCGCCTTCTTGGCGAAACAAAATATGTCCACGTGATTGAGATGCTTCGTATGGACGCTGGTCCGAGCTCACTGAGTTGAAGCGTGCCATGGTCGGCATTGGAGTCGAACGCACAAGGAGATGCGTCTTCCGAGCCTCAGCCTGTAGCCTAGTCTTCGTGTCGGTGAGAGAAACTGAGATTGATGTAATGTGGTCAATTCGACCGGCCACGTCCAGATGAGAGATTGACAACTCAGGAACAAGTGCCAGGGAATACGACGGTGCGGAAAAGTTGCAATGATAGCCGCTCTGCACGGTAGCACCCTGCCCGGTACACCTTGATATCGTATGGAATGGCGAATAACATCCAAAGCACAAGCATCGCAGAAAGTAACGAAAATGGTGTAAAAAGAGTTCGACCCCAGGTGCCGTGATGTGCGTAACGAGCTTAAGCTGCTCCGGGAAGACACGCGAATCAAAAGCAGTTTAAAAAAATTGGATTCGTACGCTTCAGTGACCGCATGTGGAGCACTTGATTCCGACACAACCGCGCAGTCAACGCTGGCAGACAGAATTGTATCAATAGCACCAGCGCTCACGCCGGTGGATAGGACCTTCACTTGGTATCGGAGTTCATTAGTTTCAAATCGCATGTTACCGGATTTGCTGAGTGGTGAGTCTGCACGCTCCAAGACGGTAGGTACGAATAGTCGCAGGCATGCTCCTATGTAAAGTATCCGTTTGGAGTGCCACCAAAATGCAGCCGCTTGATCAGCGAGCGTTAAGGTTAAGCGGCGCGTGGTGTAATCATAGCTTGTCCGTTTAGCCGTACGGATGAGCTCACGAGTTAGTAGCTCATCAGGCGTAGACTCCTGCTTGTCTTCCAAAAGTTGTAGAAGAATCGTCTTCTCGGCGATTTATCGAGGCATACGTACCTCAGGAGGAATAATGGCAATCACAATTTCTTCGAGGTAGCCTAAAAAATCAAGCATGACTACGCGCATCACGTGAGTATGCGTGCACACGAGGAGCCCTGGCGGACCGGGGAGCACGATGCTACCCATGAGCCACGCGGCAAGAGATTCTTCTTCGATCGCAACCAGGGTACGTAGGTCAGAATCAGGCTTGGGCGTCCACTGGCGTGATGAATCACGAATCCATAGCCGATGTTGCTCGTCCGTAAGCCCGTTAGCCTCCTTCGCCTGGCGAACCGCGTCCTTATCGCTCGACGGAGGACGCCGAGGATGAGCTGAAGATCCCATAACAGCAAACTGGTGGCGTTTGAAGCGTCGAACGAGCATGTCTGTCAAGCAGACGGAGGTGGGCACGAGGGATATCTCGCTTTACTGTCGTCTGCCTCGGGCACAGACAAAGGTGGGAACCGTCACGCGCATTTGCAGCGGCAGCTTTACCGCTACGCACATGAAAAGGGGGCACACCTACACGTGCCTTGATGCGATTGGTCAGTTGCACGGTTCAGTGCAAATATGGAAGTGACTAATGCAAATATGAAAGCGGACGAAGACAAGGTTACCTTATTAAAATAGGTTTCTCAGGTGTCTTTTCAGGACAGGCGAATCGAAAAATCTCAATGCGACTCCAATTGCGGTCGAATAGGCCATTGATGAAGATGCTACTTGCACCAGTGGTCCATTTGTAAACGGGTGGGTTTATCCAGCCGAAAACAAACAAAAATGGATGTGCGTCCAATGATAGATTTGTCTATTTACAGCGGCGGGTGCTACTGTGAATTATCCCCGCCCTCCGGAGTCTAGCATAGATAAAAGATCGAGCAAGTTTCCTCCATCGAAGTCAACGTCATCCACCACGAAAATTTTCTACGACCACGGTCCACGACATTAACAACTTAATCCCACTGAAAAGGCAACGGCTCGACCTGAATGCGACTCTTCCATGGTCCGATCCACGCCACGTCCCTCCGAATATTCCGAGGTGAACAGACAGCGCTATCAGAAGGTTCGTGAATCATAGAACTGATGTGTGGTTATTGCAAGGTCGACGAGGAATCTACGGCAACCGACCCGGGGTCGTCTTTCAGGTGAATGTGAAACAATCGAAAGATCCTGCACGTAAGAAGGTTCGGGCTCAGATAGCGGGTGCTTAAAAGACGGTAAAGATACTAACATTAACTGCCTCAAAAAAATAGGGTGCTGCAGACGCCGAGTAAGCCTGTTTCATTGAAGCTTATGCTCGGGCACTGGAATTAGCTATTGCTAACAAACCTAATGGTGATGGGGAATATAGCACGCTCCACGAAAGCAATGGGGAATGGATGAGAATCGAGTACGGGTACCTTACTGTCATTGCGGCAGCGGTCAGAACAAAAGCGGATGCAACGCACGCGACGATTCCGCTGCTAACATTGACACGTCAATTAGCAGCGATTACACCGAAAACAATATCGTGAGCGTACCCCGGTCCATCGTTCTTCGGCCCCGCCATGCGAGATTCCGGCTTAGATGTACTAAATGAACAGAGGTCAATTCGGTCGACGGTTCAACGCTGGTTGGATTTTTAAGTTCGCCGCAAACAAGACATAACGAGCGCGTCTTTCGTGCCATCTTGAGATTCTAGGCCCGCTTTAGAAATACTTCCCTCATCCTCCTCCGGAGGCCATTCCGCCACCGTGTCCTAAAGGTTCCGACAATCAACATATTCAGGATCTCAATGCTACGATGGCGGAGAGCACGATAACGTTTTAGAACACCATGGGCTTGACGATCTGGCCGGAGGGGCAGTAACACCGCCTCCCTGCGTCGCTAGTGTCCCTATTCTAGCGGACCTACATAAGGAGAGTTTACAGAAGCTTTAGGCGTCGTCGGGCGTTTATCAGACCCCAACACAGGTATATAAGGTCCTCCTGAACATTTTCTTGCCAGCCTGACAGATTTGTGTACGCAGACCGCAGTACAACCTCAATGGAACGATTCCGAACTCCCAACAGTACGATCAGATATTACGAGCTAAAAACGCGCAAGATTGTAGATTCCGCATCTGTTGCGGTTGCGGCTGCTGCGGTGCCATCGATCACGAAACAAATTTTGGCGAACACAGCTTCGATTCGCACATGGGATAGCTAGCCCAAAGCCATGGCTTTACCACCGGCTACTTTGCTAGTTAACAAAAAGGGACAAACAGCATGGATCAGTTTGTGCGCGTTAGACATGGCGACGTTTGTCCGTGACCTGCCGTATCCGGTTGCTTACCTTGCCTCGATTCCGGGTGACGGTCTGCGATCATTTGGACGTGCCACTGACCGCATATCTCAACCAGCTGTGATCACACAACACACCACACACGCCGATGAGAAAATTCAATATCTTTGCACGGGTGGGGACTCGACGGGAGATGGTCAAACGTTTCAAATGCGATGAAAAACGATTGACAAAACAAAAGGTTGGAGACATTTCAGTGACCTCCTTCCCGATTTGCTTAGCGACTGGTGCTAAACCGCTGGCCGACTTGGATTATTATAGAGTCATGCCTGCCCTGTTAATGTTAGGGCTACAGCTCGCACCCGTTGAGGTTAGGATGAATGTGGTGATACCGGAAATCACGGCTATACAATATCACATCTCCGAAGAGGTGCGCAAGGCAATATACGTCATTTTCTCCAAACCTGCTAATTATGGGCCGGAACTTGACCTTAAAGTCCGAGATGGTCAACGGCAGAAAATCCAGTACTGAAGGCGGCTCGGATGAGCAAGGAAGTCGCATCGTCGCGGAGTAATATTCAACGCCCTTCGTCTCTCAATCCGAAAGAACATCCCTGTTTGATCTAAGAGCCAGTGATTTCTTTACTTCTTATTACGAATTCGGCCTTAACTGACTTTGTCGTCGACTTCTGATATAGCCACCCCGGCAGCCAGTAGAATCAGTATCAATCTCAGTTTATAAAATGTGGAAGGATTTCCCAAGCAATCGAAACACTGCATGGTTTAGTCACTTTTTTCAGTGCGAAGCAAGGGGGATATCGGTTTGGTATCGCTCACGTGAATGCGGGTCAAGCTTGGTGATACTGCCATTATTGATAATATATGTACAACTTGTTATGGAGATTCGTCAATACGCCCGGACGATTGTCGTGGACGGAGTCCGAGCACTCTCTACGAGATGTGATTAATTTATAGATCCCCTTCTCATCGGTCATCTATATTGAACCTTGGCAAGAAGAGCGACGGACACCGCACTGGGAAGCTATTCGAAATAATATTCTTAGCGAAAGGTTCTTGTTGTCAACATTAGAGCTCCAAGTGGTAATTCCGAAGGGGGGCGTTTCTGAGAATCTTTTACCTCTTCTTTGGGATATGAAGGACACATGCTTGTTGGCGGCGACTGTAAGCGCACTTAAAAGCCGTAAATTGACTATTCTATTCCCTCGACGCCCGCCAGACATTAAATTTTTGGTGCTTAGACGGCTTATCAATCAGGCGCAGCTTAGCGATGTTCTTACAGCTACATTGAATATCGCAGAATAAGACATAGCCATTCCATATTTTCAAGCTGTGAGGCACGCTTATTTCCACACATTACCTGGCTATTGATCAGATAGTTTACGCCTTGATCGGTGATAAGTAAGTCCCCGACATGCTGTTTGGGTTCAGGAAGTTGATCCGTCGGTACTTTGTCGAGCATCTGAACACAATATGACAAGTATCAGAAACGGAGCCGACCCCGTAATGTGGTGCATTTACGCAAGCCGAGGCAAGTATACCCGTTCCAAAAATGATCGCAAGAGACCGCGATTAGCGCAATTATTGCGAATATTGCTCTGGCTCAGCCTTTAGTTGTCAAAACTACTTCTGCTTTAACATAGGACTATGATACAGCCGTATACCGGACCACTGCTGGAACAACTGAAGCGTCAACCGCTGTAAGATGTTTTTGGCGACGACCCAAGACGTCCTCATGGTATGACGAAAAGATATAGGCGGCGGTTTAGTCGTCTATACGGCCTACTTGATGCAACAATATCAGAGGTACGTTCGTTACAAGTGATGCCAGCGTGTTTTTAAGTGGAGTGAGGGCAACATAGCCTGTCCTAATTCTCTAGCGCTACTTTGGCGTAATAATTTGAATTACGGAGGACTATGGTAGATCTGGCGTATCTGAGAAAAATTTCCGCAACAGGGAGCGAATTATGACTCATTATTTTGCTTGCCCCGAAGCGAATTCAACATTTCTTGCCAAGTTCACCCCTCCGGACCGGGTGAATAATTCAAATGAGAAGTCATACGTATATCCGGACGCTGTAAGCGCGACTTTGTAGAAGCTTAAGCCTGGGTAAGCTGCAGGATCGGATGAAATAGACATTACCTCCTACTAAAATTACGCGGACGCACTCGCGCCTTTTATCGCTGCTTTTAACACCTGATAGCTCAAATGTAGCGTGTTCCAGCGTCGTTTGGTGAGCAAATAATTAGTGTTTGTAGAAAATTGGCGGTCTAATCTTTGCCGCTTGATCATCGCTTGATCCAGCTAATCAACAGCGACTACGGGTTTTTGTACCGATATTCTCTCGTTTTGGGAGCGGTTGATGCTATCGCATCTTGCTCTGTAAGCTCAAGCTGATTTTTGCTCGTAGTGATCGATTTATTCGGCCGTTAATTTTGTCTGGCGGTACGAAAAGCGATCTGCATGGAGCCATTGTGCTGTTTCTCCATTTTGGCATGGCATTCGACACGCTGCAACGTCCATATCGACTTTCAGCGCCGACTTGGCTTGGCGTGTCGCCCCACATCGTATTAGTCGTAGCGGCCTCATACCAATACACGCCTTTCCTTTTTCTCTTGAATTTATATCGCTATAGGCAACGTATAGTAATTGTGGATCTCGGCAAGGTTACCCTATTGCACCCCTTATATTTAATCTTGCCCTCGATAGTATCTATCGGGTGTATTAAGTGAGGGAAGAATTCGCGGAGCACCTTTATTATCTGGAACGCGGACAACTCAGATCAACGTTTTAGGCTTCGCGGACGATACCACTGTCTACTTTTGCGATCGGATTGCATTTAATCCAGTTGTTAATTATCTCGATATGTTCGCCTTGGTGTCAGTTTTCGTGACCAATCATAAAAAAATAAATGGTCATATAGCTGGACCCACGCGGACCTGCGCTAGCTCCTGACATGTATGGTCTTACTCTACAGTCATCCATTGATTCTTTCTGGTATCTTGAAGTTCTGGTTAGGCAGCAGGACGCGGTGGCTAAAAACCGGAGCAAATACATTCGTTCGCTCAAGAGCAGACTCGTCCTAGCTTGAAAGAAGACTCGCACC